CCCTTTCCTAAACTCCTCACGGCTTATGTTTCTTGGATTAAAAACAAACCCCTTAGCAGAACATCAAGGCTTTGCAAAGCTCAAACTTCATCTTTAGCCTCGTTTCCTACCATGCATCCTCTCTTCTGATAGATGTCAGCCACACTGGACCCTTTTATTACTGGAATTTCCCAAGCTGCCTCCTTCATCGGAGACTCTGGCTTTTCTCTCTACTTGAGTACTCTTCACACTTGCCTGGATGTTGTGTCTCCTGGGAAACCTGAAATTCTGACCTCAGAGACCAAAAAGTTTCACTGTTGGTCACTTACTGAGAAGTTGGCACTTGTCTTTTGTAACTCTCATCCCAACAGAAGTTAAATAATTGTGCCATTGTCCAGGTCTGTTTCACTCCCAATGAACACTGAATAAGGGCAAGGACTACATTTATTTGCTGTACTGCTTTATTCACAATATCTTGCAAAATGTCTTATACATAGTCATCTCTCCAAAATACTTGTTGAATAAATGGTTTAATGATTGTATTAGAAAGAAAAGAGACTAAGTTTTAACACATAATTTTTTAAAAGAAGATTTATTTATTTATTTGAAAGTCAGAATCACACAGAGAGAGAAGGAGAGGCAGAGAGAGAGAGAGAGAGATGTCGCTCCCCGTCTTCGTGGAGGAATGACACAGGACCCTGCGCTGTTCTTTTGTCTGCTCGGCCCTCCCCGGGTTTGCTGCTGGTTCTTCCCGGGTTGGCTACCGACCCTTCCACCTCCGTGGAAGGGCAGTTCCCCCTGCCACTTTCCCCACTTCCGCGGGGGGAGTGGCACACCGCTCTGTTCCTTCAGATAGATGTTCCTGGTGCATGTTGTCTCTCTCCTCCTTTATAGTCCTCTTCCACCAATCCCAACTCTGCTACCCACATGCCAAGTACGCTGCTCTCCTCCAATCAGGAGCAGGTCCTGCTGTTTATTGGTTGAACTGGAGGCAGCTGTGTAGAAGCTGTTTCCTCCTCTCCCAGCGCCATATTGTGGGAGAGCAGATGCACAGAATAAGTCTTAACTCCAGTAACAGTCTAGTCCGAGTTGCTCCCCACAGAGAGAGAGGGAGAGAGAAAGAGAGAGAGAGGGGTCTTCAATCCACTGGTTCACTCCCCAATTTGCTGCAATGGCAGGAACTGAGCTGATCCGAAGCCAGAAGCTAGGAGCTTCTTCTGGGTCTCCCACGCAGGTGCAGGGGTCCAAGGACTGAGTCATCTTCTACTGCTTTCCCAGATACATTAGCAGGGATCTGGATCAGAAATGGAGTTGCTGGGATGAGAACTGGCGCCCATATGGGATGCAGGCACTGCAGGCAGCAGCTTTACACACTGCACAACAGTGCTGGCCCAAAAACATATAATCTTAAGGAGTTTGTTTTTACTTTCAAATTCTCCTACTGGATCAGGTAAGAACAAGGCTTGATAAGTGCTTACTTTTGACTCTGTGCTCGGAGTCAAGAGAATTACTTGGGAGAATGGAAGAGAATCTAGTGGAGAAGGAGGTATGGACATTATCTGCTTTCTCAATAATGTGCTGGGCAGTGTCGAGGAGAGAAAGTGGCTGCACAGACATTAACACACCTTCAATCAGATCATGTATTCCTAACTCCTGTCACAGTGTTTGCACAAAAGGGATGCATGCTTGATACATATTTGTTGATTCAATGAATAAGGGACACTTTCTCAGTTGACTGTATGCCTTCCAAGCTGCAAGTATCCTTTTTGATTTCCACCTTAATACTGCCATTGACAGTATCTTTTGTATATTTTTAGCTGTATTTTTAAAAATACTTATTTATTTTATTTGAAAGGCAGAGTTACAAAGAGAGAGACAGAGACACAGAGAGACATCTTCCATCTGTTAGTTCACCCCCAAAATGGCTGCAACAGCCAGAGCTTGGATGGTTCGAAGTCAGGAGCCAGGAGCCTCTTTCAGGTCTCCCATGTGGGTGCAGGGGCAGACACATTAGCAAGGAGCTTGTTATGAATTGGAGCAGCTGGATCTGGAACTGACGCCTATATGAGATCCCGCAGCTACAGGCAGTGGCTTTACCTGCTATGCCACAGCATCGGCTCCTAGCTGTGTGTGTGTGTGTTTGTTTGTTTGTTTGGTTGGTTTTTTACTGGTATAGAGCTTACTTTATTTTTTTTTCATTTTCAATTATCTTTATATACAGAAGATCGATTCAGTATATATTAAGTAAAGATTTCATCAGTTTGCACCCACACAGAAACACAAAGTGTAAAAATACTATTTCAGTACTAGTTATAGCATTACTTCACATTGGACAACACATTAAGGACAGATCCCACAGGAGAAGTAAGTACACAGTGACTCCTGTTGTTGACTTAACAATATGGCACTCTTGTTTATGGTGTCAGTAATCTCCCTAGGCTCTAGTCATGAGTTGCCAAGGCTATGGAAGCCTTTTGGGTTCACCAACTTCGATCTTATTCCAACAGGGTCATAGTCAAAGTGGAAGTTCTCTCCTCCCTTCAGAGAAAGGTACCTCCTTCTTTGATGGCCCGTTCTTTCCACTGGGATCTCACTTGCAGAGATCTTTCATTTAGGTCTTCTTTTTTTTTATTTTTTTTTCCCAGAGTGTCTTGGCTTTCCATGCCTCTCATGGGCTCTTCAGCCATATCCGAATGCCTTAAGGGCTGATTCTGAGGCCAGAGTGCCTAGCTGTGTTTTGACAGAGGGAAAGTCAAGATGTTATTTGTCTGGGTTTTGGCCAAATCATGCTATTTTAAGGATGGCTGTCTCAAGACTCATTCAGAAGAGCCTCATTTATTATTCTAATTCATTAGTATTTCCACTGCACGTTCACCAAAACTATTTATTTTCAAAAGTCACTAGGAATCTCATTGCTTAAATCTAACATAAATGATGCAAAAGGAGTTTGTTCTGAGAAAAAATTATAGAACTGAATGTAGTTTCCTATGGATGAGAATTTCAATTTGTTACTGAGCATTTTCTGCTGGGCTCACTTTGTCTGCTAAGAGCTTGCATAAAAATGGAATAGTATCTTGATCTCACTGGAGAAGCACCTAAGTTCTCATGGCTGCAGGAGATTCACAAAGGGTAATATGGCAGAGTGTATGACATTCTCTCAGGGGATAAGGTGGTGGGAATTGGAGAAGACCTTTCTGGTGCATAAAAAATGTTACTGATAGTTTCCTGAAATTCCTCAGCTATAATTTATTTATTCAGCTCAGGGATAGAAAATTACCTCATTTGATGTCAAAGCAATGCATTGGTAATGGATGCTATAATGAGAAAAGTTCTGAGGCCTTATGTGGACTCACCAGGAATGTGTCACCAGTTAGCAATGTCAACTATGAGTTTTAGAATGGCAATTGGTGGTATGCCATGTATTTAATATCTATTTTCAAGGCTTTTGTTTTGTCTTGTTAAAATCTATATATCTATATATTTTATATCTTAAAAAGTCATTTAATTTTCACATAAACTCTATGAGCTAAACATTGTTATAATCTTCATTTTTGTTCACATGAGGAAACCAAGGTACAGTTACATTACATTTCTCAAAAGTATATGGCCAATTAGTGGTGGAACTTATATGTGAACACATGCTTATCTAACTCCAGAGCCCAAGTCATAACTGCCCCCAAAAAAACAGTTCTTAAGAATTCTAGAGTGCTGATATTTAAAGCTGTAATCATCGAAGTGTATCTATTGGCTTTCCTAAGATAGGAAAATATGAAAGGGTAATAAGGCTGGCAGGGTTGAAGACGAATTTTATCTGCTTTGCAATATTATGTAAGACCAATCCTTAAATATTGAAAATATAGTTTAGTACATGATTATTGGAGTGAAGGAAATATGAATTCTACTTGGCTAATTTTAAGAATGGAATGAAGTACACCTATACCATTTGCATTTTAAGATTCAAATCATCTAGAAGTACTATTCTCAGATGAGATTTGTTTTACTTGATATTTTTATGCTTTAAAAAAAGTTATTTATTGATTGGTTTTAATTTCACTTGAAAGACAAAGAGACAAAAAAACAGAGAGATATTTTCTGCCTACTAGTTCACTCCCCAAATGCCAGCAGAAGCGAAGGCTGTGCTAGATTGAAGCCAGGAGCCCGGAACTCCATCCACATCTTCCATGTGGGTCTCAAGCACTTGAGCCAGGGTGTACATTAGCAAAAAGCTTGGAAGTGGAACCAAGGCCTGGACTTGAACCTAGGAACCCTGATATTGAGCATGTCTCCCATGCAGCTTCTTAACCACTGCACCAAATGCCCAATCTAAAACTTTTTATTTTTAAAGATGTTAATCACTGTGTCCTAAAAATAGTCTAAAGGCAAGTGCTTATACTTTATTTTCCTTAAACACTTAATGAATGTTCTTTTAATGGGATTGCCTGTTTATGAAAGCCGGCTACTATCACTTTCTCCAAACATTTATTTTCTTTAAAGATTTATTTATTTACTTGAGAGGCAGAGTTACAGATAGAGAGAGGGAGAGAGAAAGAGAGGTCTTCCATCTGCTGGTTCACTCCCCAAATGGCTGCAACTGCTGGAGCTGGGTAGATCTGAAGCCAGGAGCCAGGAGCTTCTTCCTGGCCTCCCATGTGGGTTGAGGGGCCCAAGCACTTGGGCCATCTTCCACTGCTTTTCCCAGGCCATTAACAGAGAGCTGGGTCAGAAGAGGAGCAGCCAGGGCTTGAACTGGCAGCATTATGGGGTGCCTAGGCCACAGGCAGAGGCTTAACCTACTACGCAACAGCACTGGCCCCCAAGCATTTATTTCTATACCTAACTGTTAAATTATTCACAAATATGCATTATGTAGTGTACAAGTAAAATAATTTGGATTTTACCAAAAGGCATGGAAAATACAAATAAAAATTTTTCTTCTAATATGAAGACACTTTTGGTGCTTTCTCTTAGTGTTAGAAATACCAGTATAAGCTTTGATTTCTTGTCTTCTATTTCTCTTACAGAAAAATCTGTCATTGCTCAACCAGTATTTATTTTTGAAAAGGAAGAACAAACTTCTAAGGTAAGGTTAAACTATTTTGTTAGTTTGATTTTGACAAAAAAGATACATTTCAAGAAGCTAGCTATACTGAAAGATGTCACTGCAGCAAAGGTTTATCTTGTTCCTCCCTAGTACAGTGGAACCTTTATACAGTTGAGATTTATGGACATAAATTTGATTGAAACGGGAAACAAAAGGTCTTGTCTTAAAGCTCTGGATAATTTGGTGTTTTTACTAAAATAATATTTGCATATTTGGAGTGACTTGAAAAGGGGAAGAACCTAAAAAGATCAAGAGGGCTCCAGCTCCTCCTGGGTCCCCAAGTCTAGCCTAGTCTACAACTGGGTATAAAATAAACCCTAAGCTACTGATACTTGACTTAAAAGGGCTCTTATGGCCCACATCTGTTTTTCAGCATCATACTAAAATGTCCTACTTCAAAAGACAAACAATAAGATTAGTAGCATTCTCACTTTAGCTAATTATTATGTTCTTGATATTCATTCTTAGGTCATTTACTCTACTACCCATAAAACAAATTAAAGAGAAACTCAGCCTCTAAGCCCTTGTTAAAAAAGATCAGATTCTTGGGCCCTACCCCAGAATAAACACTTCAGAATCTTGAAAGGGCCTCAAAATCCATATGCTGAAAGATTTATTTGAAAGGAAGAGTGACACAAAGACAATGCTCATGACAGCCAGACCTGGAGCAGACTAAAACCAGGAGCCCAGAATTCTACCCATGCAGGGTCCCTTGCCCTCTGGCCATCCTCTGTTGCCTTCCCAGGTGCATTAGCAGGAAGCTGGACTGGAAGCAGAACAGCAGGACTTGAATTGGCAGTCCAATATGTGGTGTGGGCCTCCCAAGCAGAAGGCTTAATCTCCTTAGCCACAACACCTGCCCCCAAAATCTGCATTTTAAATAAATTCCCACAAATGTTCTGTTGTCATTGAAATAGAAAACCAATGGCTTGATTTGGCTATTTCTTGACTCCTTGGCTGGGGAATAAAGGTGAGCTGCCTTGCCTTGGAGGGGCTCCCCGGCCCTGGTTCTCAGAATTATCTTCTCAAGTGGCAGGGTGGAAAGCTGACACTAAAACAGCAAATACTCCACTCTCATGGGCAACTTTATGTCCTTTCAGAGACCAGCCGAAGACACCTTGTATGAAGCAGCAGAACACGGTAACTATTTACATTTTGTATTTCAAAATCCATCATTATACAAAGAAAACAAGCAGGGACGAACGCTGTGGCCTGTGACACAGACTATAAATCTGAATGGTTTTTCTGGTATGCAAGTCCAGAACAGAGAGGACTAACTGTCCATGAGTTTCCACCACCTGTCCACTAATCTACCAAAGACCTTTGTAAAACCTCAGACTAAGTATACAATTTCTTGCTGAAGTCACTTGTTTCAATTGTTTCATGCCACATACAGGCCTATAGGTTTATGATCACCAAACTATTAATACCAATATTTAAAATTGTACTTCAGGAGTTAACACATCATCAAATGATGACCTATGTAGACAAAAGGAAATTCTGTTTAGCCTCTCATGTTATGGAGTGTGGATAATTTGCTACTGCAAGCAATTTTACCCTTCTTATTGCCTGTCTTTCAGAATGTAATGATCATTCAAGAAAGCGTGTACGATCTTCGTCTTTCACTCTGCACACTGCAGATGCTCAGGCCCAGGGAGGTAGGTGTAGCCTTGACTGTTGACTGTTCACTGTTACAGCTACTCTGAATGTAGTGTTACTAAGAAACTTTCCAAAATGGTAACACTAAAAGTTTACTCCTTGGAGAATGTTTACAATATATCACGTAATGTGTTATATAATAAATAAAATAGATTGTACAGTGAGTCAGTATTTGAAAATACACTTTATCAGTATCGGGAAAAAATACTGACAAGACATAAGCCACAACGTTAGTTGTGGTTATCCTCAGCAATGGCATTCCAATAACTTGATGCTCCCTACCCTTACTACCACTTTCATATTTTGCTATTTCCAAAGTTTCTGCATCAAGTGTGTATTAACTTTGTAATCAGAGAAACTTTTTTAAAAACATTTTTATTTATTTTACTTGAAAGTCAGAGTTATATAGAGAGAGGGAGAGGCAGAGAGATAGAAAGAGATAGAGATAGAGATAGAGATAGAGATAGAGATAGAGATAGAGATAGAGAGAGGATTTCCATCCACTGGTTCACTCCCCAGTTGGCTGCAATGACCGGAGCTGCGCTGATCTGAAGCGAGGAGCCAGGATCTTCTTCCTGGCCTCCCATGTGGGTGCAGGGGCCCAAGCACTTGGGCCATCTTCTACTGCTTTCCCAGGCCACAGCAGAGAGCTGGATCGGAAGCGGAGCAGCCGGGACTCGAACTGGTGCCCCTATGGGATGCCAGCACTGAAGGCGGTGGCTTTACCTGCTATGCCACAGTGCCAGCCCCGGGACACTTTTTTAAAACAAAATTTATTTATTTACTTGAAAGACAGAGTTACAGAGAGAGAGAGAGAGAGAGAGAGAGAGACAGAGATATCTTCCACTCCATTTGCTGATTCAGTCCTCAAATGGCCTCAACGGCCAGATCTGGGCCAGTCCGAAGCTAGGAGCCAGGAGCTTCTTCCAGGTTTCACATGTGGGTGCAGGAGCCCAAGTTCTTGGGCCATCTTCTGCTGCTTCCCCAGGTGCATTTGCAGGTAACTGGATAGGAAGTGGTGCAGTCCATATGGGATGCCTACACTGCAGGTGGCTGCTTTAACAGCTATGACCCTAGGAAAGCCAATTTAAAGTGACCAGCTACTTAAGCAAATGGATGCCTGACTTTTAAAAAGAATTTTATATACTGTACTGCAAGTTCATCAATAACTTAGTTTGTCTCTTTTCCATATTCAAAGCACTCCAAATCCTTTTTATATGGGTCATATTGCCTTTTGTAATGCAACTATTCATGCCTATGTCTTTCTTCTCCACTGTGAGTTGTGTGAAGTCATCTTCATGCTTGATAGAGTTTCTTACACATGATGAGCCCTCAGGAATTATTTATTTATTTATTTATTTATTTATTTATTTGAGAGGCACGGGACTCTGATCTACTGGTTTACTCCCCAAATGTCTGCAAAGGCAGAGGAATCAGAGCTGGGAACTCAATCTAGATCTTCCATGTCTCCCATGGGGGTAGCATGAACCCAACCACTTGAGCCATCATCACTGTCTCCCTGAGTCTACACTGGTGGGAAGCCAGTCAGAGGCCAGCCAGGCATCGAAACCAGGAAACTCCACATAGGACATGTGTGTCTTAACTGGTGTCCTAACTGCCAAGCCTAATGCCCATCCGCAAAAATATTTGGTGATCGAATAAAATTTAATTTATAATCCTCACCAGATGCACTCTTTTTTTTTATTGATAACGATACAAAAATTTTCCTAAATTAGTAATATAAACATTTTTGCAAACAGCAAAAATCCCAATAAAAATCAACAAAACCCCCACGTCCTTATTGACATTAGTCTGCAATCTGCTTTTAGTGTCAACCTTGTCTCAGAAGTGAATGAGATCTTCATCCTTCACTGGCCTCCCAACCTTCCCCCGTTCTGGGCCAGGTAATAAAGTGCTTCTACAACCTCAAGCCTGACACCCTGACTTCTCAAAATCACTCATTTTAACAATGAATCTTCTATATCAATTATCATGAAATGCTAACATTAAGGCAGCAAATCAAATAGAGGGCTTAGAAAGTATGCATGGAAGAATACCTTGTGAATTCTACCTCCACAAATCCAGACAGCACATGTCTTTATTTTTAGTAGAAAGTTTGAGCATATCAATTATTTTAGAATTTCATGTTTATGATAGTATTATTTTATATGAGGCATCTGCATAAAATAAAGACAGTTTTCTTTATTTTACTTATTATTACCAAGTACTTTATAATACATAAAGGTACCTCAATAATTCATAGAAAATTGAATTAAAAAGTAAATTTATTTTGGTGCAAATATTTTTTTTTTTGACAGGCAGAGTGGACAGTGAGAGAGAGAGACAGACAGACAGAAAGGTCTTCCTTTTGCCGTTGGTTCACCCTCCAATGGCCGCCTCGGCTGGCGTGCTGAGGCCGGCGCACCGCGCTGATCCAAAGCCAGGAGCCAGGTGCTTATCCTGGTCTCCCATGGGGTGCAGGGCCCAAGTACTTGGGCTATCCTCCATTGCACTCCCTGGCCACAGCAGAGAGCTGGCCTGGAAGAGGGGCAACCGGGACAGAATCCGGCGCCCCGACGGGGACTAGAACCCGGTGTACCGGTGCCGCAAAGCAGAGGATTAGCCTAGTGAGCCGCAACGCCCGGCCTGCAAATATGTTTTGAAATGCATGCACAATGAGGTGTCTCCAAAGAGTTCATAAAAAATGTGTGGTTTGAAAAAATTATGCATAGGTGACAAGAAATTTTTTCACTAGAATAGCTTACATTTCAATTCAGTTTTTTCAAAGAACTGTTCGAAGTACCCTCATATTTAGTATTCAAAATATATGACTATGCTTTAGATTCACATTGTAAAGTTTAGAATATGATTCCATTAGAGCTTATAACTAATGAAAATATTACTTCTTTTTATTTTAAATTTGCAATGCTTTTCTAAGCAAAACTGTTTTATCAAAATATTTGAAGTGGTTGATTCCCCACATTAAAATAATGATTTCTCTTTGTGAATGTTTTTATTTCCGTTGAACAACCAACTGATTTTTTACAAGTTAAGTTTATCACTAAGAAAGAAACAAATACAAGCTGTTCACTTTTTTGGTCCTCCTCTACCCAGAGACTATGGAGTTTTCAAAATAATTAATCCCTATTCTTATCAATAATTCCAAGTATGACTGAGCAACAGTAGGTCAATCACCTGTCTAGTGCAGAAGAGACACTTCCTATAGGTCTCTTCTGAATGGACAAGCTATAGATAGTAAGAGAAATAAGAGTTCTACATTCAGAGCCAAAAAGTGGTTTTTTTTTTTTTTTTTTGGACAGGCCGGTTAGACAGTGAGAGAGAGACAGAGAGAGAGTAATAGACAATGAGAAAGAGATAGAGAGAAAGGTCTTACTTCCGTTGGTTCACTCCCCTAATGGCTGCCACGGCCGGTGCTTCGCCGATCTGAAGCCAGGAGCTGGGTGCCTCCTCCCAGTCTCCCATGCGGGTGCAGGGACCCAAGCACTTGGACCATCCTCCACTGCCCTCCCGGGCCACAGCAGAGAGCTGGACTGGAAGAGGAGCAACCGGGACTAGAACCCGGGGTGCCGGCGCCGCAGGCAGAGGATTAGCCAAGTGAGTGTTTTGTTTTGTTTTATTGTACTTGTGCATAAAGCAAGGAGGTGGCCTTAAGTTATGTAGATATATACTTTTATTTATTTTAATTAAGAAATTATTTGAAAGGCTAAAAGAGAGAGAGGGAAAGAGAAAAATCTCCCATCTGCTGGCTCATTACCTAAATGTTGGCCATGGCTGGGGCTGGGCCAGGCTGAAACTAGAAATTCAATTCAGATCTCCCATACGGGTGGCAGGGATCCAATCACCTGAACCATTACTTACTGCCTCTCAGAGTTCCCATTAGTAGGAATATGGAATTGGTAGTGGAGCTGGAACTCCAACCCAAGTACTCTGATAATGGGATGCAGGTGTATTAGCCAGTGTCTTAACTGCTTTGCCAAATTCGTGCTCCTGAGTCATTTTATAAATCAGACACACATAGAAAGAAAAACAAATAAAGAAACATGGATAGCAGCAAGTACCATTTTACATTATTTTGAGCATAATGTCAGTGTTTGCGGGACAGGTAAAAAATTGTACAGCTTTCTATGACCTATTCATGGTTTTCATTAATAAAGACTGCAATAATCATTAAATTTAAATTTGAATTAGAGAAGCAGTTCCACCGGGCATTTATAATACTTGGAACGCTTCTTCGTGGAAGCAATTCTTACTTTTTTTTTGGTCTCTGTTAATTAAATGCCCAAAGGCTGTGGTTTATGCAATTTGCAATCACCAGGAGATCTTTTGAAAATGTATAGAAATTCTATCCTTACTTGTAGTCACCACTGCGGGCTTACCCTACACATGATATAGAAAAATAACCCAGCATAAGGTCTTCTTTATTCCTCTGTTCAAATTTTGTTAAAGAATGGGGTGATGGGGCACAGACTTAGTTAATGGTTTTATAATACTCCATAAATTTTAAAGCATAGAGGGTCCATTATCAATTCAGCTTTTATAATCTGTAGAATTTATCACAGTACATTCTTTCATGATTCTAAAGAATTTGCTGTCAGTGACCTAATTTTCACTTATATTTCTGAGAATAAACAGAATTACCTAGCAAAACTCATGTGGCAATCCCATTTTTAACCAAACCAGTGCACTAAAGGGCATGGCTGATTACTGTTAGTGCCAACAGCGACACCTTCTGGTCACTTCAGAACAGTACTGTCAAACCTTCAATGTTCACTCTCACAGATTTTAAATATTCTTTCTTACAGTGAAGGAAAACAACATTTTTATGAAATCAACTCTTGTTAAAAGGAATATTGATATGAATAGTGAAGAACAAGGTTTGTAGTTTCTACTTAAAGAACCACAAAAAAATCTTACTTTTTGTCATCTATGAGAGTGATAGAAAAAGTTCATGGAAAAATGAAATTAAAAGATAAGTTTATTTTGCTGTAAAACATGTTGAAATCCACATATAATTTTTAAAAATCCTTCATATATATTTATATGTGTATGTGTGTGTGTGTGTGTGTGTGTGACTGTGTGTGTTAGGTATATGGAAGTAGGGCAGAGTAACAAAACATGAGTAATAAAAATATTTGGTAAGCCAGTTCCCATGGTCAAAATGAATACTTATTGGGCAAAATCTAGATAGGGAAGGAGAAGTAAGCAATTCACTGGTTATTTTGTCTTTAATTAGTTAACATTAGTCCCCCACCTCATCACTACTTTAGAAATGAAGTTAAAAAAAGAACAGGGAAGAAAGACTATTTCACTAAAAATATATTTATCTTTTATTCTATTATTTTAAGGTACCGTGAAACATTCTGAACATGTTCTAAGACCTGCTATTTTGCAGCCACCTCAATCTCAAATCTGTGAAAAAGCAAGAAAATCATTTGAGCACAACACATTGGAATCCAGCAAGATGACAGAAAAAATAAAGCATAGGGTAAGTACATGTCCATTGGTAGGATTGACCTCAAACGCATATCCTTCTTTGCGTATGTTGTTTTGAGACCCTGCAACCAGAGTTGGGGGCTGTGTGAGCTTGGCTTTGTTGCTGAAGCAGCAGCCAGGCTTGAGAAACATTCAGGCTGGATACAAAATGGTGTTGGTAATCTTACTGCATTTGTAGTAGAGGCATGCATTTGGCATAGTGGTTAGGATGCTTGCATTCCATGTTGAAGTACATTGTTTTGAGACCCGGCTCCTGACTCCAGATTCCTGCTAATAATCTACATGCTGGGAGGCAGCAGGAGATGGCTCAAGTAGTTGGGCTCCTGCTACCCAAAAGGAAGACCTGGACTTGGATTGAGTTCCTGGGTCGCAGTCCTCTGCCATATGAGCATTTGCAGAGTGAACCAGTGAATGCGAATCCACTCTCTTCTTGTCTCTCAAAAAAATTTTAAAAAACAAATACATAATCTTGTCCTGGAGCCAAAATTGTAAACCTGAGCACCAGGGCAGTGGTAACCTGGAGGGTCTTGTTGCAGAGCAGTGAGGCAGGTGGGAACTGGAGTCAGTAGCCAAAAAAGGGATAGAGATTTTCTGCATATCTAACTGGTCAACATCATAGTTAATCACTGTGCTGCCAGTGTAGGTCACATCAGGAATCCACTCTTGAGGCATCTTTACAAATAACAGGAGCAAAGAAACTACTTATGACAGTGTGGCACAAGGCCTGGGCAGCCTGCAGAGACAGGTACGAATTTTCTCTTCCAACTGCTGCAGTGGCTGGATCACTCATTGGAGGCCTTTCTTAGCAGACATTAATGTATTCAGGTCATGCAAATATGGGTTGGAGGATATTCTGTTTCTACAGTTTTAGCTGATAATAGAACACAAGATAAGAAGGCTGCAATTAGGAGTTATTCCATTGATCATTTGTTTTCAGCTATTTAGGGTTAGTCCATATCTTTGCTTGGTTCCCCCCACCCTCCATGGAAGTGTAAACACTACCAGCCATTTCATTCAGTGAAAAAAAATCAGGTGGGTATTAGTCCTAACTAGTCCTAACCCTACCACTATCTATATTTTTGGGGGACAAAGCACCCAATATTATCTTTTTGTCAGCAAAATAAAGGAGTTAAAAGTAAAGTCAGCATTTGTCAACATTTTTATATTTCCAAACACTTTTCTTTGTGAGATATGATTTTGTGAGACATTATGAATTTAACATTTTTATTTATCTATTTGTGAGATAGAGATGAGAGACAGAAGTCAGATAGGCATACCAATACACACACACACAAATACACACACAGGTTCTATCTGGTGGTTCACTCCCTAAACACTTGCAATGGCCAGGGCTGGGCAAGGGTGAAGCTGGGAGTCAAAAACTCAGTCCAGGTATCCCAAGAGGGTACAATTACTCAAGCCATCCCTGCTGCCTCCCACAATGTGCATTATCAGGATGCTGGGATTGGAAGCAGAGCCAGGAGGCAAATAGGAATTCTGAAATAGGATGAGGGCATCCTAAACAGTACCTTAGCCACTATGTCAAATGCTCATCCCAGTATTATGAATTTAAAAAAAAAGTCATTGTTTATGTATGGTATGTAAATTATTTTTAAAATAAAACATGGGTTCAATTTTAGATAAGTACATTATTAAAATTTTTAGTTTCAATATAATCTATTAGTCATCATCACATTATATAAATTATTTTATTGATTTAAGAAATGATACATGCTATTTAATTAACTTTAAATTATGTAAGGAAGAGCATGATGTGCTAATTTTAAAAAGTCATCATTATTGCATTTGATTTTGGAATGACATATACTATAAAGAATATATAAATATTTTATTTCATGTTGTAACATCCAAAATACATCAACATTTCTTTCTTGGCATGACTTTATAAATGCTACATTGCATATTTAAAAAGTAAAATGTATTTATGTATTTGTTGAATTTTGTTCCTAAGTGATAAAGCATAAGAGAAAATTTCAAATGTTTGTTTGCAATTGTTTCTTCTTGACTAATTTATAAGTTCTAACAAATAGGTCTTATTTCTAAGGACTGAAAAACTCAATTGAGTAAGCCCATTATTGAATTTTCTGTGTAATGATGACCTTTGAAGAACTGAAAACTAAAGACACAAGTACATGTAAGGTGATATGTAAGGATTTTTCACCAATGCATGTAATTTACAGATCTGGTGAAATTATCCCCAGGGGAATTTTATAGTCATTATTTTTATATTCCTTAATAATTTGTATGTCAAACTCCAGAGACATTATTACTTATTCTTTCATTAATCAAGTCACACACGATGAAGAAATTAAATAATATATGTCTAGGACTGGCACTGTGGTACAGAGGGTAAAGCAGCCACCTGCAGTGCTGGCATCCCATACGGACACCGGTTCATGTCCCAGGTGCTCCACTTCTGATCCAGCTTTCTGCTATGGCCTGGGAAAGCAGTAGAAGATGGCCCAAGTCCTTGGGCCCCTGCACCCACGTGGAGAACTGGGAAGTTCCTGGCTCCTGACTTTAGATCTGGACAGCTCTGACCGTTGCGGCCAACTGAGGAGTGAACCAGTAGATGGAAGACCTCTCTCTCTCTGCCTCTCCTTCTTTGTGTAACTTTGACTTTCAAATGAATAAATAAATCATTATACACACACACACACACACACACACACACACACACACGTCTAAAAAACCTATTTCAGGCAACCTAGGAGTAAAAACTACCATTTTGTCTGAGAGATAAAACGTTTGAGTGACTGGGTCTTGAGCATATCCTTTGATTTTTTTTAAAGGTTTATTTATTTATTTATTTATTTGAAAGCCAGAGTTACACAGAGAGAATAGAGACAGAAAGAAAAAAATATATATATATATATGTGTATATATATATATATATATATATATAGAGAGAGAGAGAGAGAGAGAGAGAGAGAACGGTCTTCAATTCAATGGCTCACTCCCCAGATGGCCACAACGGCTGGAACTGTGCTGATCTGAAGCCAGGAGCTAGGAGCTTCTTCCGGGTCTCCCAAGCAGGTGCAGGGGCCCAAGGACTTGAGCCATCCTCTACTGCTTTCCCAGGCCATAGCAGAGAGCTGGATCGGAAGTGGAGCAGCCAGGTCTTGAACCAGCGCCCATATGGGATGCTGGCGCTTCAGGCCAGGACGTTAACCTGCTGCGCCACAGCGCCAGCCCTCATATCCTATGATTTTTGCTAAAAATGAAACATGCTCTCTCTCTTTTTTAAAAGATGTATTTATTTATTTATTTGGAAGGCAGAGATACAGAGAGAAGGACACACACACACACACACACACACACACAGACAGAGAGAGAGAGATCTTCTATCCACTGGTTCACTCCCCAAATGGCCTCAAAGACCAGGGCTGGCCCAGGCCAAAGCCAGCAGCCAGGAGTTCTTCTGGGTCTCCCATGTGGGTGGCAGTGGACTAGGGACTTGGGCCATCTTCTGCTGCTTTCCCAGGAGGATTAGCAGGGGGCTGGGTTGGAAGTGGAGCAGCTGGGACTTGAATTTATGTCCATACAGGATGCCAGCGCTGCAGGCCATGGTTTAACTTGCTATGCTCCAGTGCCAGCCCTGGCACATGCTCTCTTGATAATTTGAGTGAATACCAAAATGGGCATAAAAACATGGAATTAAAATATGTTTATTTTTGTACAAAACAATCCATGTATAATTTTTCCATACTACATATTTCCCATGAACTTTTTGGAGACTCCTTAGATGCATGGATTTCAAACATTTTTGTAACAAATAAACAACTTTTAGTTCCATTTTCCATGACCTTTTGAAATTCCCTCATATTTGCCAGCTCTCAAGCTCTTGTTATCAAAAGAAAAAAATTCAAAATAATTTTTAGTGACTGACATAAAAATTTACGTAGAAACACATCCTGTCTGGGTGCCTGGGTTTAATCCTGGCTCCACTTCCTAGCTTTCTGTCAGTGCAAGTACTTGAGTCCCTGCTATCCATGTATGGGACCCAGATTGAGTTCCAGGCTCCTGGCTTCAGCCTAGTCCAGTCATAACTGTTGTGGGCATTTGGGGAATGAACCATTGGATGGAAGATCTCTCTTTGTCTTGAATATGGAAAGCTTTCAATACACTTAACTATAGCTATTGTTTCCTCATCTGATACTCCTATAGTAAGGCAATTTTAATGAGCTTTTTGATGGATTTATTTTCTTTCAGATTTCTGAGGGGAGCTCCTATTTATTAAGTGGGAATTTACCAAGTGCCCAAATTTCTGTCCAGCTGTCTATTGACCAACCTTTTCTAGGTATAACATCAGTAGGGTAAGTTAATACTGCTTGAGTAGCCCTTCCCAAAATGTTTGGCACCTAAATGTTCTGAATTTTGGATTTGTTCAAATTTTGGGATATTTGCATATATATATTTGCTAGGACCCAAGTCTAAAGATCAAATGCATTATCTTGCATATATACATAAGGTGTCCATATATCTTGCACATATAACCTAAAAGTAATCTTATACAATTTTTAAATAATTGTGCATTTTGACTGCAATCCATTACATGAAGCTGGGTGTGGAATTTTCCACTTATAGTATAACATTTGCACTCAGAAAGCTTGAGATTTTGGAGTATTTTGGATTTCAGAGTTTTGGATTAGGCATGTTCAATACATAATGAGAAGACAGAAATATTGTCCCTTCATTCTTGTTTTATCATTATAACCATTCATGAAAAATAATTTTCCAACATTGTATGGATAACTTGCCAAGATTTCCAAGCGAAAGGAGATTTTATAAGAACACAATTTAAAATACTTTTCAAAAAACTTTATATTTCAATATTATCATATTAATACTAAATTATCTTCATTGTCTTATACTTGGTGAGAATGTTTTGAAAAGATATGACTAAACTTATTTAGTTAGGTATTAATTATATGGTTACTGAATTAATCTTTTCCTTTTGCTGACATGCTTTAAAATATTTTTGTTATTATACATGATTTATCAGAGTAAGCTGGAGCAACAAGGAAAGCAGTATAAACCCGCAAAATGAAAAGTCAATATTTTTTAGTATTGCTGCTGATGAATGAATGTTTAACCCAAGAAATAGTAGAACTAACTTTGGATGTAAATCGACTCACATGATTAGATCCTAGGCAGGTACATTAGTCAGCACTTGCCTAATGTGTACATCAGGAATGCAATGAAGAACCTTGAGCACAGCTGCTTACATAGAGAGGGCTGGATGTCTTTGAGTTGTTCATCATGGAAAATATTTTTAACATCAAAAAATTTCAGGGAGGAAAAAAATTAAGTCAAGGCACACTCAAGTATAACTAGCAAGGTATATTGGCTTTGCTTTTCTCCTGAAGATCTCTGGGTGCTAAAAGCTTGGGCCACTCAGTAAAAACAAGAGTGAATATTAGAGATTAAAGAGGTTGTGCTTAAAGAGCAAAAAGATAAGGCCTGAGCAGCCTTCCATGCTAACCACATAGCAGTGCAGGGACTTGTTTGGTCTCTGCTAGTGCCATAACAGCTGGCAAATATTTTGACTATCAACTTAGGAACTATTCATCTCAGTTTTTCATTTCTTTCTCATTAATTTCAGATAAACAAAAATTAGCAGTATTTATGTGGGGAGCAATCCGGACCAGACTAAGTTACTCGAATTAGGACTTATTCTATGCATCTGCTCTCCCACAATATGGCGCTGGGAGAGAAGTAAACAGCTTCCGCACAGCTGCCTCCAGTTCAACCAATTAACTGTAGGACTTGCTCCTGATTGGAGAGCAGCGTACTCAGCCGAGTTGGGATTGGCAGAGAAGGACTATAAAGGAGGAGAGAGACGGCATGCACCAGGAACATCTATGGGGAACATCTAAGGGAACCCGTGCAGCCCCCGAGAGAACCGGCCGGCGGTGTGCCGCTCCCCTGCGGAAGTGGGGAATGCGGCCAGGGGGAACTGCCCTTCCACGGAGGTGGAAGGGATAGTAGCCAACCCGGGAAGAACCAGCAGCAAACCCGGGGAGGGCCGAGCAGACGAAAGAACAGCGCAGGGTCCTGTGTCGTTCCCCCACGAAGACGGGGAGCGACATAATGGTGCCGTGACTCGGATATGAAGCCCAGGCAGGGTTTAGTGTTGCTCCTCCACGAAGAGGGGGAGCGACATAATGGTGCCGTGACTCGGATAGGAAACCTAGGAGGGAAGAAATGACTCGGATAGGAAACCTAGGAGGGAAGAAATGACTCGGATAGGAAACCTAGCTCGGATAGGAAACCTAGGACGGATAGCAAACTTAGGAGGGAAGAAACGGGAAGAAATGGGAAAATACCGGAGAGAGAAACTAGCAAACAGCCTAGGGAAAAGCCGGACGAAAAAGGAGCCGGAAGAAGCTATTGAAAGCCTAGGCATAGACTCGGATTCGGACTACGGGGGGAAGCTGGGAGAAATCTCTAAGGTCGAAAGCGAAAGTGAAAGCTAGAACAAACAGACTCGGACGCGGACTGTGGGGAGAGGCCAGGAGAAATGAGGGAGGAATATCGTTGGAGGAAAGCTTGGGGAAACATACCGGGTAGAGAAAAATGTTAGGGAAATTGAAGCCGCGGGGGGCAGGCCGAGGCGGAAACGAAAGCCACTTTGGGGTTCTCAAGTTAGCCCGGGAATAGGGGGCGAAAAGTTGAAACTAGAAGCTGAGACGTAAGCCAGGTTGGGATCCGTCTGATTAGCCCGGGGAGCAAAGGACGGGAAGCCAAACCGTGGGGCGGAGACGTACGCTGGGTTGAATTCGCCAGGCTAGCCCGGGGAACTTAGATTGAATCCTAGTGGCGGAGACGCAAGCTACGCCGTGTTACTCGCGGAAGCCGCCGCGTGCAGAGAGAGCACGGGGCGTGAATAGATAGGGAACGCTGGCGTAGGCCGTGGTTCAGACGCGAAAGGGTTAAGCGTGGAGACCGCGGACCGCGCAAAGCCGGGAAGCCGCGCAGAGAGGCGCGCGGGCTGAAGCGGCGCAGAGCCGGGAACCCGCCGGCGGGGCGAGGTGCCGGAAAGCCGCAGGGATAAGAGAAACAGAAGTTTGGAAGTGAAGTAAAAGAGAAATGGGAATGCTGGAAGATAGAAGTGAAATGGGAGAGGTAGGAATGCCCGGAGATAGAGAAATAGAGAAAAATAAGGCCTCCCCTCAACATGCCAATTAGAAGGCTTGGATTCGGTCTGCCTGATTTAAGGCGGTAAGCGCCAGCAAAGCTCGACCAGAGTATGAGCTGCAGGTCACCGAAGATAGGCACGAACCAACACTAATAAGTCTCCCCCACAATAAGGCAATGAGAAGGCTTGGATTCGGTTTGCCTGATAGGTTTTGTAAGCCCCTGCGGGCAGAGCAGAGCATGCGCTGCAGGGCACCGAACACAGGCATGCATCAGCGCCTAAAAACCTCCTCACAATGGCGAAGAGAGGACCCGGATTCGGTTTTCCTGATTGATAGGACTTGTAAGAGCCTGTGGCGGCTCTAGCAAGTAGAGCAGAGTGTGTGCCGCGGGACACCGAGGACAGGCGCGTATCAACGCTAAAAAATAAAAAGAAAGGGGGATCTGTGGGGAGCAATCCGGACCAGACTAAGTTACTCGAATTAGGACTTATTCTATGCATCTGCTCTCCCACAATATGGCGCTGGGAGAGAAGTAAACAGCTTCCGCACAGCTGCCTCCAGTTCAACCAATTAACTGTAGGACTTGCTCCTGATTGGAGAGCAGCGTACTCAGCCGAGTTGGGATTGGCAGAGAAGGACTATAAAGGAGGAGAGAGACGGCATGCACCAGGAACATCTATGGGGAACATCTAAGGGAACCCGTGCAGCCCCCGAGAGAACCGGCCGGCGGTGTGCCGCTCCCCTGCGGAAGTGGGGAATGCGGCCAGGGGGAACTGCCCTTCCACGGAGGTGGAAGGGATAGTAGCCAACCCGGGAAGAACCAGCAGCAAACCCGGGGAGGGCCGAGCAGACGAAAGAACAGCGCAGGGTCCTGTGTCGTTCCCCCACGAAGATGGGGAGCGACATAATGGTGCCGTGACTCGGATATGAAGCCCAGGCAGGGTTTAGTGTTGCTCCTCCACGAAGAGGGGGAGCGACATAATGGTGCCGTGACTCGGATAGGAAACCTAGGAGGGAAGAAATGACTCGGATAGGAAACCTAGGAGGGAAGAAATGACTCGGATAGGAAACCTAGCTCGGATAGGAAACCTAGGACGGATAGCAAACTTAGGAGGGAAGAAACGGGAAGAAATGGGAAAATACCGGAGAGAGAAACTAGCAAACAGCCTAGGGAAAAGCCGGACGAAAAAGGAGCCGGAAGAAGCTATTGAAAGCCTAGGCATAGACTCGGATTCGGACTACGGGGGGAAGCTGGGAGAAATCTCTAAGGTCGAAAGCGAAAGTGAAAGCTAGAACAAACAGACTCGGACGCGGACTGTGGGGAGAGGCCAGGAGAAATGAGGGAGGAATATCGTTGGAGGAAAGCTTGGGGAAACATACCGGGTAGAGAAAAATGTTAGGGAAATTGAAGCCGCGGGGGGCAGGCCGAGGCGGAAACGAAAGCCACTTTGGGGTTCTCAAGTTAGCCCGGGAATAGGGGGCGAAAAGTTGAAACTAGAAGCTGAGACGTAAGCCAGGTTGGGATCCGTCTGATTAGCCCGGGGAGCAAAGGACGGGAAGCCAAACCGTGGGGCGGAGACGTACGCTGGGTTGAATTCGCCAGGCTAGCCCGGGGAACTTAGATTGAATCCTAGTGGCGGAGACGCAAGCTACGCCGTGTTACTCGCGGAAGCCGCCGCGTGCAGAGAGAGCACGGGGCGTGAATAGATAGGGAACGCTGGCGTAGGCCGTGGTTCAGACGCGAAAGGGTTAAGCGTGGAGACCGCGGACCGCGCAAAGCCGGGAAGCCGCGCAGAGAGGCGCGCGGGCTGAAGCGGCGCAGAGCCGGGAACCCGCCGGCGGGGCGAGGTGCCGGAAAGCCGCAGGGATAAGAGAAACAGAAGTTTGGAAGTGAAGTAAAAGAGAAATGGGAATGCTGGAAGATAGAAGTGAAATGGGAGAGGTAGGAATGCCCGGAGATAGAGAAATAGAGAAAAATAAGGCCTCCCCTCAACATGCCAATTAGAAGGCTTGGATTCGGTCTGCCTGATTTAAGGCGGTAAGCGCCAGCAAAGCTCGACCAGAGTATGAGCTGCAGGTCACCGAAGATAGGCACGAACCAACACTAATAAGTCTCCCCCACAATAAGGCAATGAGAAGGCTTGGATTCGGTTTGCCTGATAGGTTTTGTAAGCCCCTGCGGGCAGAGCAGAGCATGCGCTGCAGGGCACCGAACACAGGCATGCATCAGCGCCTAAAAACCTCCTCACAATGGCGAAGAGAGGACCCGGATTCGGTTTTCCTGATTGATAGGACTTGTAAGAGCCTGTGGCGGCTCTAGCAAGTAGAGCAGAGTGTGTGCCGCGGGACACCGAGGACAGGCGCGTATCAACGCTAAAAAATAAAAAGAAAGGGGGATCTGTGGGGAGCAATCCGGACCAGACTAAGTTACTCGAATTAGGACTTATTCTATGCATCTGCTCTCCCACAATATGGCGCTGGGAGAGAAGTAAACAGCTTCCGCACAGCTGCCTCCAGTTCAACCAATTAACTGTAGGACTTGCTCCTGATTGGAGAGCAGCGTACTCAGCCGAGTTGGGATTGGCAGAGAAGGACTATAAAGGAGGAGAGAGACGGCATGCACCAGGAACATCTATGGGGAACATCTAAGGGAACCCGTGCAGCCCCCGAGAGAACCGGCCGGCGGTGTGCCGCTCCCCTGCGGAAGTGGGGAATGCGGCCAGGGGGAACTGCCCTTCCACGGAGGTGGAAGGGATAGTAGCCAACCCGGGAAGAACCAGCAGCAAACCCGGGGAGGGCCGAGCAGACGAAAGAACAGCGCAGGGTCCTGTGTCGTTCCCCCACGAAGACGGGGAGCGACATAATGGTGCCGTGACTCGGATATGAAGCCCAGGCAGGGTTTAGTGTTGCTCCTCCACGAAGAGGGGGAGCGACAATTTATGCTTTGCAAATATCAAATCATCTGATTATTTCACCTGTTAAGATGTAAAATTTTTTATCTAGACATTTAAAATAGCAAATGCTGATTTTTTTTAGGTGTCAATCAAGTGAAGATAAGTATTCTTTTAAAAGTTGCAGTCCTGACTTCGTTTTTGGAGAAAACATGGTAGAAAGAGTTTTGGTAAGAGTTTGGTAAATGTTTCTATTATTATTTGAAGAGGCGTTACTTCAAATTTCTGAAGGAAAATTAGCTGAAAGTAAGGCTAAATTGGTGTGTACCTATTAATTTCTGGGTTCAAAGACAAATTTTCTTTCTTTAACTGCAAACCATCTCCTGGGAGGCATACCTTAATTGTCAGAATAATAGATAGGAATCCACTGAGGAAGGGAACTGCTTAATTATAACATTACTGATGTGAAATATTAAACAGTTCTTTGACTTGTATTCTATCAGAGATACCCAAGGAAACCTCATAATTACCTGTAATAGTTAGATAAGCCCAACTGCTGATAATATTTTAATAAAGTTTTCCAATACGACTTTTCATAACAAGATGGGTAAATCCTCCAATTATTCTTACTAGTTAACCACAACCTTATTCTTCAAGCTCTTACATCAAGAAAGTATTATTATAATGCTTTTTGCTACTTCTAAGTGGAAAATTAGAGGGCTTAATTTGCACAGAGGAATCTGTACCTTCCAAGTGAGAACAATAAGCTAATTATTAATATTGTCCATATTTAATACTGAGTATCCCTCAGCTGCTGTTTGGCCTGCCACAGAGCTCTGATTTTCTCCTGATCTCCAAACTGGTACTGTCCCGGTGTATCCAAATGCCTACCTGACATCTCTATTTGAATGCCTAACAATCATTTCAAATTTGAATATTTTTAAAATAAGCCACTATAATGTTCTTCACACCAGCTTCTACTGCAATACTGTCCCATTTTGAATAAAGACAACTCATTCTTTCAGTTGCTGTGGTAAAAAAAATTTGGTATTATCCTTGATTCCCATCTTTCTTAGCCCAGTTCTGTATCATGGGCCTCTACCTTCAAAACACATCTGGAATTTGAACACGGCAGAGCCACCGTCATCCTTCACAGCTCCTAATTTATCTTTTAGTATATAAAGTACTGGTCTCAACTTTGGCTGTGTGTTAGCATCAACATGCCTAAGCTTCCCCTCAGAATATATTAGGCCAGAATCTGTCAGTGAGGCCAAGTGTCAAGAGACTGAAATGTATAACCAGATTTGAAAAGCATGTGAGCAAGCAAAGCTAAAGGCAACACCGAATTCTAGAGATGCTTATTACTTAGTAAAGGGGACAGAAAGATGCCTGTGCAGACGAACTACTGTTGGGTCTATAGGTTTTGTTTGAGAACGTGCTTGTGCAACTTCCCCATTGGTATTTTAAATTTGGCTTATAAAGGAACTGTGCTTCCCATTTCTTTAAGTTGACAATACACTAAAGATATAAGATAATTTGTATTTGCCCTCAAATTAGTTTTGAAAACATCTGGTCTTGGGATTTAAGAGCCATGATGCACCCCTGGCTTGATAGCTGACCATATGCTTTTAAAGTGAGTCACAAAAGTTCCCAATACTTTAGTTTCCATTTGGTTAAAATGGAAATAATTACTCTAATCTCTACTAATTTTAAGGGAATATCTTGATGCGCAATTAAACAATAAGAAAGAATCTGAGTTCATAAGGAAAAGATGAAAACACAGGGTCTAGGGCAGGTGTTTGGCACAGTGGTTAAGATGCTGCTTGGGACACCCACAACCACTATTTGAGTGTGGGTTTGAGTCCTGGCTCTGTTCCCAATTCCAGCTTCCTGCTAATACATACCCTAAGAGGCAGAAGGTAATAGATCAAGTACTCGGATCCCTGCCACCCACGTGAAAGAACCAGGTTGAGGTCCTGGTTCCTGGCTTTCTCCTGGCCCAGCACTAGCTGCTACAGGCATTTGGAGAGTGAACCAGTGTATGGAAGAACTCCCTCTCTCTCTCTCTTTCTCTACCTCTCTGTCTTTCAAATATTATGAAATATATAAATAAAAAATATAAACACACGTTCTTAACTATCCCTGCTGGCCTGTACATTATCATAAATGACATGGCAATAACTCAGTCTTTTTTCCAAGCAGGTATTGATTACAACAGATGTACAGAGCCCCAAGCAAGTTGGAATCTTTCCATAAAGTTGTTCTCTGAGACATCTAGTGAGGTTTCTGGATAATTTTTGTTTCCATTAAGTGGATAGCAAGTGTGAATTACTAGGTATACTGAGGTATGTTGACACAGAGAGGACAGTTCCGGCCAGTGGGATCATAGAACAGCAGCTACCTTCTTTGATGTCACTAGAACTTTCCCTATTGTTTCTGGGACTAAATCCTGCCTGAAGTAGACTACTGGTAACTAGATTACGTTTTTTAAGGATTAGAACTAAGCCTCTCTAACAATAGGGAAAAATTTCCTCTTTAGCCATAAGGACCCCTAAACAAAAACAGCCGGTGGGTTATTTACGATGTTGAAGTAGAACAAAAATATTTTATAGCTTACAGCAAATAAATAGGAAGAAAGTTAGATAATGTTTTTCCCCATACAGGGTACTCAAAAACTCATCCAGCCTCAACTTGAAAATGATTCATATGTCAAGGAAAAAACATTCAAGTCCATGCTGAAGTTTCCCATCAACTCTCCAAATTCAAGTAAGAATCACTTCATTTGTAAAACATTTGATTCAACTAGTTTGTCTCCTGTTTTTCATGTCATTGCTATAAAAATAATCCAATAATCTAGTATTTTATAATTTTTGTAAAAATTGAAGATTAGAAATAGGATTACCCAGTAACCATATTTTGGAGAATCAATAAGGATATTTTGTGAAAACTCAAGCAGCTTGATTTTATTTGGCAACATTTATTACTACCGAAAGGTAAGGAGATGTGTCAACTGGAGCTACCAAGAACTTTCATAGTAGAGAAAATGGTTCTTTTATGTGTTCTTTCTCCCATTTTCTCTTAGGAACAGACTCTGTTAAAAACAAATCACTAATAGAATCAGCTGCCGCTTTCTCTTCCCAACCATCACAAAAATGCTTGCTTGAGAAAGTCAATGTTATAACAGGGGAGGAAGCAGAACATAATGTGTTAAAGGTTTGTATGCCATATATTGCTCTTTCTGGTAGCATTTACATATTTGGAATAAAGTTACCATAAACAGGGACATTTTAAAAATGTAAAGTGAAATATAGTTTTTATGAAGACTAAGTTGCTTAAGTAAAAATGTTGGAGGCTTCCAAAGATGAAACCAATATTTTCTTTTCTTACATTTTTATGAATAATTTTCAGTGAGATGGGTTGGATTTATTGTCATTCACATTAATCCCTTAGAAAGAAGATAGTCAAGGGTCCTGTCTTTATACTCGTCACACTTGCTTTTATGATCAAGTCCATTATCCTATGGTGGATTAATTCCGCTAAAACTGAAGGTTTTTAGATGTTGATATAACTCGATTTCAGTTTAAGATAATAAAAATAATTTTATTTTCCTTTTAAAAAGTTTAGAATTTCGGCCAGCACCGCGGCTCAATAGGCTAATCCTCCGCTCGCGGCACTGGCACACCGGGTTCTAGTTCCGGTCGGGTTGCTCTAGTCCTGGTTGCTCCTCTTCCTTTCCAGCTCTCTGCTGTGGCCAGGGAGTGCAGTGGAGGATGGCCCAAGTGCTTGGGCCCTGCACCCCATGGGAGACCAGGAGAAGCACCTGGCTCCTGCCATCGGATCAGCGCGGTGTGCCGGCCGCAGCGCGCCGGCTGCGGTGGCCATTGGGGGGGTGAGCTAATGGCAAAAGGAAGACCTTTCTCTCTGTCTCTCTCTCTCACTGTCCACTCTGCCTGTCAAAAAATAAATAAATAAAAAGTTTAGAATTTCCTATGAATCAACAATTTCATGGGTGCATGCTCCAGCAGCACACATAGGATCTGATTGTTGAGGGGTATCACTATCAGGATATGTTTATGAAAAGTATTCCCTACAACTTCATCATGAATTTCCTTTTGTCTTTCTCAATCTACTTTTGTTTTTAAGATTTATTTATTTTTTTGAAAGTCAGAGTTACAGAGAGAGAGAGAGAGAGAAAGAGAGGTCTTCCATCTGCTGGTTTACTCCCCAATTGGCTGCAACGGCCAGAGCTGTGCCAAACCGAAGCCAGGAGCCAGAAAGCTTCTTCTAAGTCTCCCACTCGGGTGCAGGGACACAAGGACTTGGGCCATCTTCTACTGCTTTCCCAGGCCACAGCAGAGAGCTGGATCAGAAGAGGAGCAGCTGGGACTAGAACCGGCACCCATATGGGATACTGGCACTGCAGGCAGCATCTTTATCCACTGCGCACAGTGTCGGCCCCTCTCCATCTACTTTCCTCCCAAATAGTCCCCATTCCTCTTTATTTCCCTTATGATCTATGAACACTGTAAATCAGTGTGTCCCTAAACACAACTTTCTGATTATATTAACTACACCCTTCTTGAATCAAGGCCCTGGCATGCTAGTTTAGGTGCTTCTTGTACGGAATAGTATCTGAGAACCACTGGTAATCAATTTATACTGGGGTGCCCTATGGTGTCCCATCATAGTTCTCCAAGTTCTCATATTGATTTTGAAAAATTTTAAGCAGGCAAAGAGTTCCCTGATTCTTTTACTTTCAAACAACATAATATAGGTCAAAATAATGCTGTATAATATAAAATTGTTTATTGTTAAGTGAAAAATCAGAAAGTAGGTATGGTATTCTACTTATAGAAAAAAAGAGGAGTACAAACATGAGGGTTCTCAGAAGGGTTATGGAAAATGCATATATAGAAAAAACTATGCAAGGATTTCAAAATTTTGTGCCAGAATAAATTTACCTTTTAATTCCATTTGTCCATGAACTTTTTGAAGTACTTTTGTACATATATTAGGATGTATTTACATACAAATATTTCTAGAAAAATAAATTAAAATATTAGTGATGGTTATTACCTCTTACAGGAGTGGAAGTTGACAGATGGGGAAAAGGTTGGGCAGGACTTTTCACTTTGTATGCTTTTTTTTACTTTTTGATGTTTGTGCCACTTGGAAACTTCATATTTTAAAAGTTAATTAAGTTTTAAAAGCTGGTTTACAAATCATTAGCAAAGGTTATTCTGACAGATCAGACAGATATAAAAGTAGAACAGCATAGCAAATAATTTACTTTGAAAAAATTGTATATATTTGACCTTTTAAAAAATTGTCATTTAGATCAACTGCAAGCTTTTTCTATTCAACAAAATGACACAATCTTGGACCGAAAGGGGCAGAGGAACTTTGAGACTGAATGACACAGCAAGCAGCGACTGTGGAACATTACAGTCAAGACTAAGTAAGGAATCACTTTGTAAAGCAAGCCATTTCTCAGGGTAAAATTCCTAATATAAGCATGTACTATATTCTGGTGATGTTATAAATCACATCAATCAATCAGACTGTTGAAAACAATATTATTCCTAATGGGAGCTTCCCATTTCAAGGAGGCTTTTCTGTCAAACTGCATGGGCTCCAGTGCTGGCTGGATCACTGACTAACTGGTGACCTTGGATAAGTGACTTAATCTCTCCCTGCCCTAGTTCCAGTCATTTAAAATAGGGATAACTGAAGTTCATGACTTCAGGGGTGATTGTGAGAATTCAATGAGATAACGCACAAAAAACACCTATGTCAGAGCCCGGGCACACACCTAAATAGTAAAATCATTATTCGTTGAAGGAATACAATACAAATTATTTTGTAAAGTTTATCCCTAGTATTTTAAACATTGTGTGGGGGTTGGGATAAGAGTCAGTTGCCAGGGAAACAAGGTACATAGGTTTTGAATCTTGCAGGCAGAGTGATGATCAGAAGCTGGAGTCATTCAAACAAAAGGGGTTTGGCATCCAAAAAGACACACTGGGCATTGTTCAGAGAAATGAACAGAAAGTGAGCATAGGCAAAAAGATAGGCAAAAAGCATAGGCAGGCCGGCACCGCGGCTCAATAGGCTAATCCTCTGCCTTGCGGCACCGGCACACCGGGTTCTAGTCCCAGTCGGGGCGCCGGATTCTGTCCCGGTTGCCCCTCTTCCAGGCCAGCTCTCTGCTGTGGCCAGGGAGTGCAGTGGAGGATGGCCCAGGTGCTTGGGCCCTGCACCCCATGGGAGACCAGGAGAAGCACCTGGCTCCTGGCTTCCGATCAGCGCAGTGTGCCGGCTGCAGCGTGCCGTCCTCGGCGGCCATTGGAGGGTGAACCAACGGCAAAAGGAAGACCTTTCTCTCTGTCTCTCTCTCTCACTATCCACTCTGCCTGTCAAAAAACAAAAACAAAAACAAAAAAAAACAAAAACAAAAACAAAAAAAAAGCATAGGCAAAAGATATTTGTTGAGTTTCACACTATCAAGCTCAAGAAGTAGGTAAGGAGTAGAATTCAGATGAAAAGAATAGGAACAGTGTCTTCAGTTCTATAACTAACAAATGGTTTCTAAATAATGCAACCAAGAAATAGTCCTAAGGCTGCCATTAGTTGTTCTTTATCTGGTTTAATTCCAATGCCAGCCAAATACAAAAACAAAATGTGAAACTCCAAAACAATTTTTTTTATTATGCAGGTAATACATGTTCCTTAAAGAAAACAGAAATATAGATCAACAAAAAGAAAAAAATAAAATCACTTAAAGCTATAACTTCCTGAAACAGCCCCTGTCAACAGAATATACTCCTCTGCTCCTTATTCTCTGTATACATCTGTATACACGTAGATTGTAGGTCATGTGATTCATGGTATTTATATTGCTTTTTTCCTGACTTATTTTTATATAGTATACCATGATACACATTTTTTCTAAAGACTTATTCATTTATTTGAAAGTTAGCGTTACAACGAGAAGGAGAGAGAGCAAGAGCGAGAGCAAGAGCGAGAGAATCCATCTGCTGGTTCACTCCCCAAATGGCTGCAATGGCCAGAGATGGGCGGAACCAGAGACAGCAGCTACTCCTGGGTGTCCCACATGGGTGGAGGGATCCAAGTACTTGGGCCATCCTCTGCTGCTTTCCTAGGTGTATTAGCAGGGAGTTGGATCTGAAGTGGAGAAGCCCACCCACAGACCTAGAAGCAACTCTGGGCTTCTGGCTTTGGCCTGGCACAGCACTAGCTGTTGCAGCCTTCTGGGAAGTGAGCCAGCGGATGGAAGATCTCTCTCACTGTCTCTCCCTCTCTCTATAACTCTGCTTTCAAACAAATAAATAAATCTTAAAATAAAAAAAAAAGAAGGGGGCAGCAGGGACTCCAACTGGCACCCATATGGTATGATGGTTCCGCAGGAGGTGGCTTTGCCTGCTATGCCACAGTGCCGGCCCCTACCTTTTTTTTTTTTAATTTACATAGTAACCATGTTCATCTTTCAATACCAATAAATATCTTTCTTCAATATTCTTAGTAGGTTCACAAAATTTTCTTGAATGACTAAACTGTAATTTATTTAATTGTACTTTTTGGACACCTAAGGTTTTTGTCACTGTAAAAATATTCTTGAATAAATATCCTTTAGATATTTATATCTCAAACATAACAAAGCCCAAAACAACTTGAAAACAAAGTTATAATCTAGTCAAATTACAACTTTATTGTGGAAATACAGTCTAAAAAACAACTGCAAGGTTTGCTTTGCTTCCAAAAATAGCAAATTCCCCTGGAAGGCTAAGGAATCAACTGCTTTGGGGTCTTATACATTTACCTTCCTGTTTCAGTTATGCGCAACCAAGGCAGTCTGAGACTGATCCTCAATAGCAAACTCTGGGCTCAAATGAAGATTCAGAGAGCAAATCACAAAAATTTACAAGTAACAGCTACCGATTTTGAGGACTATAGCATTAAAGTATTTTTAATTCAGGTAAGTTAGAAATTTGAATAATAAATGATTATTCTATTAATAGATCTCTAATTACCAACTTATTTTTCACTTTGTTATAATAACCTGTACCACTGGCAAAAATCATCTATTTATTATGAAATTCAGAAATCAGTATCAATGTCTGTGGTGATCAATTGGTTCCTGTTTCAAGACATTTATATGATATATGCCACCAAACCTCTACCATTTTCTTTCCTACTGATACTATGTTAACAATTTTGCTGTTACCAAAGTGACAATTGTCAGGGATGGCTTGCCAGAGAAGCACAGCAGAATCCAAAGCCTGATGCTTATACTGCAAGCTGAGATGGAGAAGGTTTTGAGATCATTGGAAAGGAATCAGTGAGAAATGGAAAAACACAGGGCTACCAAGTTAAAATAACCAGTCCAACAGCAAATTCCAATTCTGGACATAAGTAAATCTCCAAGGTTACAGAATGGGAGCACCGCTTTAGTTGTTCCTGGCAGCAAGAATGCTTGACCTCAAGGACAAGATCCAGACACAGAGAGCTGGCTAGAGTAAAGTCCCTCCCCCGCTCCTAATGTCTCCCCACTCCTCCCCTCCTCTGCCAAAAAAAGGAGCAATTTGGTTTCCCCCATGGCCTGAGCCAGAAGACCAGGGAAGACAGAGTACTTTAGTGACAGGCAGAAGGTGATAATACTAGTAAATTGGCTTTTGTATAGTAATGGAAAAAACAATGTTGGTAAGTGCCCAGTGATGAAATGTCAAAAGATTTCACCACAATAAGTACACTGTTGGGTGTGAGTATTACACCCAACAATACACCACAATAAGTACACTGTTGATGTGAGTATTACAATGTCAGGGTAAGATGATGTTCAGATATGTTTACCACTTAGGAAGATAATACTTGTTACTCTGCCAGACCAGGTCACCCCTAGTTTTGAGTGGGTGAAGCAGCTTATCAAAGACTGAGATGGAGGCTGTCAACTATGATTAATACCTCAATTCCGAATCCATGCTGGAGTTCTAAAGTATAGGACATTTATTAGTGATAAGCCAAACAAATGCAATAAAAATTACTAAAAATTCCACCCTCATAGATGGTCACTATTAACATTTTGGCCTTGTCCTATATTTTAGTCCATACATGAGTATGTGTACACATAAATACATGTGTACCATACCACACATACTATATGGCCGTTAGACAAGTTAGTCTTCCTTATGTTAGTTTTACTCACTTGCAAAATGAAGGTAACTATAACATACTTTATAAAGCTGTGAGAAGGTTAAATAGCTAATATGAAGTCCACATATTTTTCATCTATTATTGTAAATGACTCTCTTCATGACTTTAAACAATAGCTTATTTTTTAAAAATTCTTTTAGTAGGTGAAATAATTCCATTATGCATCATAATTTATCTCATTAATCCCACAAATCTGAATGGAATCAAGTCTCAGCAGTTTGTCTTTTACATTTCTGAGTCATATTTTCCTCAGTTGTAAAGAGAAGAGGGAAATGAGTACATACTTGTGCTTTTCTAATATAAATAGAATCAATAATGTACTCATGGTATTATCTTAAGGACTGAATAAAAGAAATGATAACAGTAACTATTTTACAAATGTTAGTTACTGTTTCCATATTCTTTATGTTATGTTATTAGTATGGAAAAGCAAGAACTTGAGATGTGTTTTTGCAACAGCATCATAGATTCCACAAGCTCTGCCTCTACACAAAGCCATGAGGTTTGCAGGGGATGTCTAAGAAAGTGATAGAAAGAACTCCTCTATGCCTGCAACAGCCGAAGTTTGGCCAGGTTGAAGCCAGGAGTCTGGAACTGCATCTGGGTCTCCCAACAACTTTTTATAGTGTAGCATAGTGGAGGAAGAATGGTTTTAACACACTGAAATTCAAATATAGAATTAAAATTATAAAATTTTGCTTTCTTAGGTTAATATGTACTAATTGAGATCTCATAAAATTATTCACTTTAGGATGGAATTTGCTTCAACATTAGCTTTTTACTCCTTCCTTTTTAGGGTTGTAAGCATTTATTTGAAACCTAGATTTATATCATTTAATTCCTTCCTTAGTAACAGTCAAAGATTAAAAATCTATAAAATGTGGCTTATGTTCTAAATTCAATGTCCTTCATGTAGGCCAGTGTCAAAGATACAGGATACCTGTACGCAGCAATACATCATCGTCTTGTCGCACTTCGAAGCTCCAATAAGCAAAAAGACGTCAATCAAGCTGAGATACAGTCAGAAACAGTCCTCCAGCAAGTAAACTTTGATAGCTGTGATGAGGATGAGGATGAGGATGATTTCATACATGTCACCAAAAATGGATCAGGTAAATAATTTTCATTCTGTTAGGGCAGAGGTTTAAAAAAATAAGCACAATGCTAACATACTACATTGATTTTTTAAAAAATGGAGCTGATCCGTTTAAGGTGGGTTATAGTTAGAGACCTGGCTGTTGGAACTGAGGAGAGTGTCTGAAAATCAATCTTTTGCAAGTGGTCTTCACTGAGATGAGAACAAGTCAGCTGCATAATGATGCCTTGCAAATCAGTTGCCTATAAATTGCATTAGAACACACTGATAATTTAAACTATTATACTGCTAACCTGAAACTATCATTTATTCATATTCTTCTTCATTTGTTCTCATTAAATTATAAATAAATGTAATGGGATCACCAAGTAAATTTAGCTTGAAACCTGGAAAGTCTTGTGTATTCCCAGGTTAGAGCTTGACCATTTATGAGAAATTGTATAAATGTATAAATGATATTTTCAAGGACCTCCTTTGCCTAAGGCAAAAGTATTTTTTTTTGTTATGTAAGGATTCGCAAATAAAGGGAAGTTGAAGTGGAGCCAGTAGTAAACAGATTTTTCAAGTTTTAGTGCTTGACCAGGTGTGTGAATTTTAAATTAATATTCATCATTATTTCTGGGAAACATTGTCAAAAAAAAGTAAGCTCAACTTTGGTACACAGATGTGGCTGTTCTAATGATGTTTTCCAAGTATTTTCAGTAAGTTTCATTCAGCCTGAATTCTATTCTACGGAGGACTGAGTGACATAGTTAGAAAGACAGTGTGGTAACAAGTATAATTTTCCATTTTTAATCATTTTAAAATTCTAAAGGTATCACATATAATTTAAGGATCTATCAAGGAACATGTGTATAACTAGATAAAATGCCTCCCGTTGCTTATTATTAAAAATATAATCAGGGGTCAGTGTCGTGACACAGTGGGTAAGCCACCACCTGTGATGCTGGCATAACATGTCAGAACGCCAGTTCGAGTCCTGGCTGTTTTACTTCCAATTCAGCTCCCTGCTAATGTGCCTGGGAAGCAGTAGATGATGGTTCAAACAATTGGGTTCTTCCTACCTTTGTGGGAGTAGATGGAGTTCCTGGCTCTTGGCTTTGACCTGGCCCAGCCTCAGCTGTTGTGGCCATTTGAGGAGTGAACCAGAAGTAGAAGATAACTTTCTCCCTGCTCTGCCATTCAAATATAAATAAATAAATCTATAATCTCGCTATATATACAAATATATATTCAAAAGGAAAAATTCACATTCAGACCAGGGTCATAACCTGTTTCATTCAGTAAGCCAGAGAACTCAGTGAATAAGATTTTTCTTGCTACTTTATTTTTTTAAATTTATTTCTTGCTACTTTCAACAAAGGGTTAATTACTATTTGAAACATGAAATGAATAAATGAAATTATATTCTATATTATTATAATGTTTATGTTCTTAACAATGAAATGAAGTCTATTAAAAATGACTAGAAAGTCTATTAGAAAAGGAGTCTATTAGAAAAGTACCAATTCACTAAAAGTCAATTTGAAATGAGGATTAAATGTCAAAATTACCTCATCAGCCATGCTTATGAAATCTATATTTTATTAGATTCCATTTTAGGAAAGGAGTGATATGTAACTATCTTAATGCAAAACCGTGGAAATAATACAGAGCAAATGTGAATAATATGAACCTTTTCCCCTGCTTTTTTTCCCCCTCCTTTTCACTTAGTATCTTTTCCAGGAAGTATTACAGGCAAATGCTAAAATGTTATGGAAGTAATAAAAAGTGTTTTGTACTTTGTTGCTCATGAATCAAGGAACTTCTTAATTAACTGAAAATGTCATATTTGAAATTATTAGAAACATTTCTAAATGTTGCCAATGAGAATGTTGATTCTGTATGTTTCATTTTATTATCAGTTAATATATTCATGAATGTTCCTGTTCATTACATTCAATATAAAATCTAGTTTAAGTATTATATTGTATAACAAAATATTTTAAATTTGTATCACAGCTCCTTCTAGGTGGACCCACAGACAGTCCGTTGTTTGTTCATGAGCACTACTTATTATAAATACGACAATATCTACAAAATGATCAGCCACCCTACTGAAAAAAATGAAACCATCATAACTAAATGAAAGATCCTAATCATTCCCTGAAGAGTTTTTATGAAACACAGTTTGTTGCAATTAAATTTTTCTCTTATGTTTTGCATGTCACATTTTTATTATTGTGGAGAAATGATAGAATTTAAGAAATAAATGGACTTCAGAAGTTCAAAATTTAATCATTTTTGAAGAATCTAGGGTAAGACTTGATAACTAATTTGAACTATTCATCACATTGATGGATATAATACTAAATTGTGAATTGTGAATTTCTGGATTTGATAAATATATAATTAAAATATTTATTTTTTCAGTCATACATTGTCTGGCCATAAAAGAAATATTTTACTAGATTTCCAGTCATTTTTTAAAAAAAACCCTTAATTGCATGATAATATTTTATCACATCACACTTATCTGCTAGGAAATGTGTATTTTCTTTCAGCCTTTGGATTTCCTGACTCCAAAAGTGCCTATATTCCTAGTATTAATTCTTTAAAAAGAAATATCTGCTCTTGGACTTGTATTCATGGCATCTTGTAAATGCTTGACTCTCAGCACTGACTAGTTGTTGTATGAATGAACAAAATATAACATATTACCTATGTATCAAAAAAAGTTAAGCTTACAAAAAGTCAAATATGTTAACTTGTCATTCTTTGCTTGTATAAGTAAATTGTTTTTCATATTCTAGTAGATGTGGGTGTATAGAAACCTTTCTTAAATGTGACAGAAAATATAATTTCATGTTTCAAAGACTACTTAACCACTTGTTTCAAGTAGCAAGAAAAATCGTATTCACTTAGTTCTCTTGGTCACTGAGTCAAGCAGATTACGAGCCTAATCTTGTCTTCAAACTAGGGTGGAGATGAAGAAATATTTTCTCAATGTCCCATTTTTTTTTCTATGCTCAGACAACTCTTAGATGTAATGTTTTTCCATGGAGCAGAACTGGGACTCATTTCTTACATCAGGAACATGCTATCAGTCTTCCATCCAGCCCTCTCACTTCTGTTTCCATTTACTGCACTCACTTCCTTCTCAGTCTGCACTTCCAAACATATTTTGAAAATTGAATTCATTCTATAATTTTCTTTGGACTTTTCAACACATATCAAAGGAAACAAAATTTACACTACCTTAATTCCTGATCTATATAGAAAAGTCAGTGCAACAGAACCAGAAATAGGGTTAGAATATCAGGAAGGCAGAGAAAGGTGGTGAACATTTCTATATTCTGAAGAGGATATGAAGAACAGAAACAGGATGTTTAGCTCTTGAGTCTTTCAACCCATTTCCTGTTTTCTATGTAATTCTTAGTATTTTTATGCAAATATTTAGTAAAGATGGAGGGGCAATAGAGATCTTTTATAGTTTTCCTTGTCTGATTTCTTAATCTAGCATCTTTTTTGAATTTTCTATGTCTTTTGTTCCTCTTTAATCTGAAAGAGATCAATTGTACAATCATATTCATTTTTTAATGTTATTTAGGTAGTTGGCTTCAAAGCTTACATTTTGGATTTCCATAAAAGCTGTTTTTATTAAAATTTACTTATCTAGTCTACAAATTTATTAGACATATAGCTAACAGTATATCAAATTGTATCTTGCATTAATATAAATCTTGTTCAGCTTAATTATGGACCATTAAAATATTCTCTCTTAAAAATGTTACTTTATTTGCATTACTGCCAGAGCAAAGTATCCTTTGTCCTCAGGAGAATACATCTTATCCAGGTGTTGGTGTACTTACATGTCATAAAAAAGAGGGATTCCCTCCTTCACAGTCAGAATGTAGATGAGTGCAAAGGAAGGTTTGTTATGGTTATAGGCACAGAAAAGGATATTTCTTAAGATTTCTGTAAATCTCCAAATTGCATATATCACATTATTGAGAAGAATTAAGCTGACTTGAGATGTGGCTATCATGTGATTGGCCAAGCTCATTCTCTAGAAAGGCATACCTGCTGTATCGTAGGCAGGGTAGGAGTTTAACAGTAGCTGAAACTGAAATTAAATCATGAATTCCAGAGTGGTTTTTATTTTTTTTATTTTAGATTTTTGGCAATGGTCAGATTATATCCATAGGACTAGTTAATTGTTGACATAAGACTTGGAGCTGATGAAGTGGGATATCCAAACATATTTGAAATTTCTAAGATATCTGCAAATATAGCACTGGAGGAGTTATTGAAATGACTGAGGAATGCTTAGCCCAGTAAAGACTTTATAATAATTTTCTAACCAAGTTCTAAGATTTTAAAATTTCTACTAACCTAGCTGATATAAACTTAATTTGACTTTTCTGATTTCTAATAAGGTTGAGTATCTTTTCAGATATTTATTCACTGCTTGTGCTTCTTCTAAGAGATGCCAGCACATAATTTTTGCATGACAAATTGTGTCATTTTAGTCTTTTAGTTGCTTCCTACCTAGCATATCCAAGATAAAAGCCTAGTTCCTAAGGCATGGATATAATATTTTCCATTGTTTTTTCCACTGTCTACTACTCTAGCCTCACCTTCCAATGTTTTTTACCTCTAAGTTCTGTAGGAATTCAGAACTGCTATTTCATTGCCTCTATACTTTTGCTTATCCAGAATTCCTTTCTCATTCTTGTTGGTTCTGGTTAACACCTTACTCATTCTTTAAGGCTTAGACCATGCCATTTCTAAAAAGTCTTCCCTAACTTTTCTTAGGCTGTGTTTAGACCTACTCTCCAAATTCCTATGGGACTCTATAACTCTATCATTACATGAATTTTTACACTCCGTAAGGTACAGGACTCTTTTTATCACTTAATCTTCAGCACGTAGCAGTGTGCCTGGTCTATGGCAGACACTAAATAAAACTTAAACTCCGCTGATGTGTGTTACATGAGTATTTGTAAAAGTCATGACATTATCAAAGCTAGAAATAAGGAGTTTCAAGTCAGGAGAAAGATTTGGGCTAAAGATGTTGGTAGCAGCTAAGTTATGAGAGGGGAAAGTCACTAATAATTGCCAATGGTCTACTTTGGAATGGGCACAGGAATTGGCATTTGTACACGTACTTCCAACTTTACAAGGTAGCTATAATATTTTATAAATGAAGAATTAGACACAGAAAAGTTAAGCAACCAGTTCAAAGTTCACATAGCTAATAAATGCTAAAACTGGGATTTGAACTAGTCTTTCTGATTTCAAGGCCCAAGTTCTTTCCCTTACACAACACTAGATGAACTCACCCAGGAGAGACTGGAGCCTGGAGAAACAGGGATGGGGAGAGAACAGACGAGGAAAGAAGACAGATTCCAAAAATGGGCTTAGGAAGAACCCTCCCCCCAAAGTGGACAGAGGTATGAAGGGAAGACCATTAAGAGACAGGGGTGCTGGTAGATAGATTCAGGACCAAATGACAGTCATTCCAAATGCTGCAGAAAGATCAGGTGACTTAAGGGTTGAAAAATGTCTTCTGAGCTTTAATCAGATCATTTGGTAACCTTGGAAACAGTAGTAATTAGTGCAGTGGCAGGGATAAGCTAGTAAACAAGCTGAGAGAGAAACAGGAGACAGGTATATGGTGATGATGAACAAACCATTCTAAGAATCTTAGCTGTAAAGGGAAGATAGGCAATATTTAAAACTGGGGATTAGATGGTTCTTTTGTTTCTCAAAATTACAGACATGGGCTTGTTTAAATACTGAAAAAGAAAACCCAGTAGAGAAGGGGAACTCAGAGATGTATGAGATGATAACATGATGAAGCAACATTTTTAAGGAAATTTTGTAAAGAGATGGGATCCAAAATAACAATGGATAACGAGACATCCTATCTGAAATGTCAACGTATGTTGTATGTTTGGAGATGGAAAAAAGCCAAAAATTTAAGTTCTTATCTATGAAGAGAGGAGAAAATGTGTCTGAAATTTCAAACATGCACACAAAACTCAGACGTTAAGCAAGCTCTTTCTATTCATCTATTGTGTCAAACGTATCAGTTAACACTGTCTACCTCAGTGTCACCTGTGACTGCTCCTTTTTTTTCTGGTATGTAATAACAAAAGGAGGAAGCATGTCCGTTACCATAGATTACCTCCCACTGAAGAGGCTACTTTAACGTCTGTTACACTGCAGGTCCTTGTCAGTAGGGGTCAGTGACTGAACTGGTAAAGGAAACACCAGACTAATCACGGTGTTGTCCATCTAATACGCCACCTGGCACACAGCAGGCACTCAGTCATTAGAGTGAACCATGAACGACTGTGGCACTGCATCAGCCGGGCTGCGACAGAACCTTGGGGTCACTGTACTTTAATCCCCCCATCTTCCAAGGGAGGATTCTGAGGCCTATGAAGATGAAGAAACCTGCCCAAAGTCCAAACCTACTTAGCGGCAGTGCCAGGACTACAATGGAGTCGAGAGGGTGTCACGCAAGAGGGCAGGAGGAATTCAACAGGAGGCTGTGCATGGCCCTCTGACTCCCTTCCCATAACCCCTTATCCTACTATTGCCATTGCTAGTCCCCTAGCCGGGGTCCTTATCTCATGCAACGATTCCTACAGCCTCTAACGGTCTCCCTTCCTCCCAGGCTGCCCAAAGCGCCCAAAGCCAGGTCAATAGTCGTCAAACATTGCTTTCAACTGCTTTCTGGCTAAGAGCCTTCAAAGCACTACTGCCTACAGGATAAAGTCCAAATGACCAGCATTCTGAACTTCTCACCTCCTCACACTCTCACACGCGTCCTTTTTTTTTTTTTTTTCTTTTCCACTTTATCTGCACACTAGAAATGATCCACTCGGCCAGACTCCTCTACCCATTATTCTCCAATTCCTCAAAACACTGTGCCTTTCTCCCTCCTGGCTGACGCCTCTTCGGTGGCCAGCAGCAAAAGGGCTCGGGGTCCCCAGGCTTGGCTTAATCTCTGCAGTCCATCTTGACACTCGGGCATCTCCATTTTGCACTGGGCCTGTTTCTGCACCAGTCTCCTCGGCCAACGGCCCAGCGTTGGACCCATCACTTACTCAGCATCATTGGTTCAACGAATAAAAAAGGGCATGTGGTCTGGTTTCACATGGCACTAGCGTAAAAGTACGGAGCCCGGGCGAGGAGGCGCCACGTACCTGCCTTCCCGCCAGGCGCTCAAAACCCCACCCCCGGCCCCTGGGTCTCCTCAGACCGGTTCCAGCTGGATTCCTTGCGGCAGCCCGAACGCCAAATAGAATTTCAGCCCTGCCCCAGAAAGCAGCCAATCCCCGCAGTCCTTCGAGCGCCAAAACCTCAGCACGGTCTCATTGGCTTATTTGTTAGCATGGGGGCGGGCCAGCAGCGACCGCAGGGTAAGGGGCGGAGCCGGAGTGCGGCACCCAGCAGCCGAGCGGCCACTGCGCAGGCGTGAATGGAGAGGGGTAAACAAACAAACAAAACCCACCACCCCGAGGCCTCCAGCTCCTCCCCGCCCACCTGCCCCTCGCGTGGGCTCTCCCGCCTCCTAGCGGACCCGCTTTCCCCGCCCCCGTCAACGTCTGGGCACGTCCCCCTCGCGGCGCCGGCCACGCACGTCCCCGCTCTTAACCTCTGCCCACCCGGCGCGAAGTTAAAGGTTCGGGCTGCGCGCGCTCCTGGAGGCGGCGAGCGCAGGCAGGAGCCCGAGCCCGCGGCCGCGGCCCTGCGGACCATGACTTGCTACCGAGGCTTCCTGCTGGGCAGCTGTCGGCGCGTGGCGGGCGGCCGGGCGGCGGCGCTTCGGGGGCCGGGCGCGGGAGGCCCTGCCGCGCGGGCCCGGCTGGGCGGCGACGGCGGCGGCCGACGGCACCTGGGGCAGGGGCAGCCGCACGAGCTGGCGGGCTGTGGCAGCCGCCCCGACGGCGGCTTCCGCCCCTCCAGGGTGGTGGTGGTGGCCAAAACCACCCGGTACGAGTTCGAGCAGCAGCGGTACCGCTACGCGGAGCTCTCGGAGGAGGACCTGAAGCAGCTGGTGGGTCCCGGCGCCGCCCGCCGCCGTGTTTCGGCCCGGTCCCCGGTCGCTCTCAGGTTCGGCCGGGGGTCCCGGGAGGCGGCTGCGCCCTTTCTGACGAGACCCCCTGAGGCGAATGCCCTCTGGCCTTTCTCGCTGCCCCCTGCGGCCCTCTCCTCCCCGGACCCCGGGAGTGCGTGTGGTGGGGAAGAGGCTGCGTGTCTGTGTTAGCGTGGGGACCTCTGGGCAGGGGGCTCCCCGAGGAGAGGGGCCCCTTCGTTGGGACAGACGGAGCCGCATCGTGGCCCCGCGGGGCGGGAGCGGGTTGGGGGTTCACCTCTGCCCCCGCCTTGTTGGGGCCCCCGAGAGGCGGGCGGGTGCCCCGAGGTGTGGACGCGCTGGGACCCGCTGCCCAGGCCGCCCCGGGGAAGTGGCGCCTGGGCGCTGTGGCTGGCCGCGGAAGAAAGGACGAAAGGTGCGGCGGACACACCCCCTTTTACTCTCCGGGACGAGGCCTGGGACCTTCCGGAGAGCCTGTCCGGTCGGCCTGCTCCATGTTGGAACGTGGTGGTCAGACAAGGTTCTAGTGGTGTGTTTTCGGGTCTGGTGCTGGGGAAATTGGACTTGAGAATGTGTGAAAAGGTCCCACAAGGGACAGGTCAGCGGAGTCATGTGGGAAATAAAGAGCCCGTTTCTCGTGTCGCAATAGCTCCCCAATAGACTATGTGGTTATGTGGTATGTTAATGTCTTTGCAAAAGGGGGAACAAACCCGATTGGTACCCTCCTCCTCTAGTTGGGGATTTTCTGATCCCACGTCCCTGCCAGCTTGACCAACGCTGCCATGAACAATGTTTTTGAAAAATCTCCCTCGGAAATCTCTTAATTGTTATCGGCTGTGTGCACAGATAAGCTTTGGAATTGCATTGAACCAAACCGTTTAATTCTGTGCAAGAGTAGACACCTATTTTAAACGTCTGTCTTGACTTAACATTTTCAGTAACAATATTTCGTAGAGGCTTCAGAGGTAATGAGCCGTCTTTGCTTAGGTACTGAGTTAGTGTCCACATGAAACATCTTTAATTTCCTTGATGGGTTCATTGAAGGGCCCAACACTAAGCTGCAGGAATTTGGATGCAGATTCCTGTCCGTCTTCCCTGCTGGCCGCTATCAGCTTATAGAAGACACTGGTGCCACTTCAAGAGCAAACAGTTTGAACAGGAGGCTAGGGTAGTTGAGTTTATGTTAAAAAATTAGAGGTGAGGCAGAAAATGGTGAAGTCAGACGAAATCATGTTTGTGTTTTGGAAAAGGAGTGTGTCCTTTAGGTTATACTCCTGATCTTGCAAGGCTTACTTTTTAGAAATTTTAGTAGCCCTGTATGCACAGATATACTCTTCATACAATTTTTAAGAAATATGTATTTATTTATTCGAAAGTTAGAGTTACACAGAGAAGGAGAGGCAGAGAGGCAGAGAGAGAGAGAGAGAGAGAGAGAGAGAGAGAGAGAGAGAGAGAGAGGAGAGTCTTCCATCTGATGGTTCACTCCCCAGATGGCCGCAAAGGTCGGGGCTGTGCCGATCTGAAGCCAGGAGCCTCTTCAGGTCACCCATGCAGGTGCAGGGGCCCAAGGAGTTGGGCCATCCTCTACTGCTTTCCCAGGGCATAGCAGAGAGCTGGGTTGAAAGTGGAACAGCTGGGACTCAGCTGGCGCCCATATGAGATGCTGGCACTGCAGGTGGTTGCTTTACCTGCTACGCCACAGTGCCAGCTCATCTTCATACCATTTTATTGATGTCTCTCATGATAATTCAAAATACTGTACACACTCGGTTGATTCTGTGCGATTAACTTCCTGTGTTTTAATTTCTTTGGGCCCCCTGGGTGGGAAGGATACTTTCTGATTATTATTGTCAGCTGTCAAGGTGCTTTCACCTAGTTCAGTGTGTGAAGGGCTAAGGTTGGATTGGATAGCCTCCAAGGTCTTCTCTAGTGGTGGAATTTTGAAACTTTGGATGACTTTTTTCAAGGCCTCAAGAAAATGGATGGCATCTGAGCTAGGATTAATTCTTAGGTCTCTGACCCAGAGTACTGTTAACAAAAGCTTTGAAGATGTAGGAAAAATCCGTGTCTTTAAAAATCAAACTATCTGGTGTACCCATGGTGAGTGGAGAAATCTCTAGTAGGTAAATATTTGTCTATTGCTAGATAATGTAGTTTGGGATTTAAAAAAAAAAAGCTTTGAAGTAAAGCTCCTGGACTGTTTTGTACACAGTTTTTGTACACAGTTTTGTAATGGCCAGGCAGTGAAATCCGTTTTGTTAATGTTGTTTTCATTAGAGTTTTATTGGCCTCATATTTTTATAATACGAATTTGTTTTATCATTGATATTAAAGTTAGTTCTCAGGATGCAGTAGTTAGATGTAGCTCTGATCAGAGATCAGGAGCAGGCTGGAGAATCCTGGACCTCGTGGAGTTGATGTGTAATAGGATTCTGTAGTAGGAATGGTAATAGTGGGGTATATGAATCTTGTGAATTGGTTATAAAGGAGATGCTTCATTGGAGCCTCCAGGCACCAAGGCTCTAAGTCTGTAGTGTCATGGTAACTTGGTTTTGTGTCAAAGCATTCTGTTTTATTGTTGGGGTGGTGGTTTTCTGATGCAAAGTAGGTCTCTATTAGGTTACTTGTTAAAATGCAAATAGCAGATGAGGGATGGAGTGCCGGTATAGTTTTACACCCTGAAGCCTCGTGATTTTCTAACTGTACAAACATAAATAATGGGAGGAAATGTTTTTCAGTTGGTAAAGTATGTAGAGAATAGGTTTACATCCGTTAAGCTGTCAAGAGTTTTGGCTTTCGGCTACTCTTTCCTAGTGATTACATTGCTTTATTTTGAAGTCTGCCCTTTTTCCCACTGATAGACCAGTGACTTGCCTTGTGAATATAGGATTGCTAATCAAGGATTTTTACCTCTCTGTAATATGGTTTTACAAAAGCTAGTAAAATGTGGCTTGTGTCACAGGAGATGTAGCTGTTCACAAATTTGGAACTTTTATTAAGATCTATAGCGCTTAGAAATTAGATCTTTAGATCTGATTTGGAAAGGAGTTGACACCAGAAACATAACCTTGTTGGCTAATGCAAGGGTTTTATTTAAAATTTTAAATACAGGTTGAGAATCCCTAATCTGAAAATCTGAAATAGAAAACACTCCAGAATCCTAAATTTTTGAGCACTGGTGCCACAAGTGGAAAATTCCACACCTGACCTTATGTGATGAATCACTTAGAAAAGGCAGGTGCATAATAGTTTATTCAACCTCCAAGGGAAAAAAGACACTCCTAGACCTCCTTCAGTTGCAGTATATCATTTCTGCTGCCATCCAGAGTCCCCCATACAAGCATACCCACAAAGAGTAGTCAAATGGTAGGTGTGCAGGCTGTTAAGCATGCCAAAGGCAGGTTCCTCACAGTGGCCCCCGTGGAGCCAAGACCTCTGTGCAGTATTCACTTTTTTGCTTGTTGTCTACTTCGCTGGGTAAAGATATTGTTGAAAATAGTGGTAGGGCCTGGCATTGTGATGTGGCAGGGTAAGTCACTGCCCACAATGCCAGCATCCCATATGGGTGCCCAGTCCTGGCTACTCCACCTTTGATTCAGCTCCCTGCTAATGCACCTGGGAAAGCAGCAGCAGAAGGCCCAAGTGTTGGGGCCTTGCCACCCATATGGGAGACTGGGGTGAAGCTCCTAGCTTCAGCCTCCAGGCCTGGCCTTTGCAGCCACTTGGGGAATGAACCAGCTGATGGAAGATCTCTCTGTCTCTCCCCCTGCCTCTGTAACTCTACTTTTCAAATACATAAATAAATGTTAAAAGAAAAAAATTGGTAATGCCAGACAACTGTAGCTTGTCCACTTTGGTGACTGAGATGATACCTTTGCTTTCCTGGTGGTTCAGTGCACACACAGTTAATATTATATAAAATCACCTTGAGGGCCGGCGCCGCGGCTCACTTGGCTAATCCTCCACCTGCGGCACCAGCACCCGGGTTCTAGTCCCGGTCGGGGCGCCGGATTCTGTCCCGGTTGCTCCTCTTCCAGTCCAGCTCTCTGCTGTGGCCCGGAAAGGCAGTGGAGGATGGTCCAGGTGCTTGGGCCCTGCACC